TTTTGTTAATATGCTATTTACATCTGAGAAATAGGTGTCTTCCTGTTCCCCTGTGTTCTACCCTCCTTTGATTGGTTCAGATGAAAGTATGGTTGAAGTGAATGCCTACTCCTCCCACCCCTCCCTACCTATTTGTATAGTGTTCTACTTGCTCTCCCAGTATTTATGACATATTAAATTTCACTCCTGTTTCTTTCCCAGCATATTTCCCCCTCCCTTTCTTCTTTTAAGACCGTCAAAATGTAACAAAACCACTCCTAGCCCTTGTGTCTTATTAAATTTTCTTTATCATTCTTGATATCAGAATGCTTTGAGAGGACACTGTCTTCTCTTCCTATTAGAATGCAAACATTTCATCCTTTTCCAGACCTATTTACCTTTTTATGTTTATTGATTCTATGTTTACATTTCATATTTATTAGTCACCTGTTGTTTTTTCATCAGGAGTTCTTGAAAGTCCTCTGTTTTATTTATTTTTTCCCATGTAGGATTATACTCAGTTTTACTGGCTAAGCTATTCTTGCTTATGTCATACCTTTTACCTTTTGGGTAAATTTGGGTAAACAATTAAGCTCTCCTTTCCTTTATGGTTCTTGCAGCCAAAATCTTAGGTGAGCCTAACTGTGGCTCCTATGTGTTTGAATTCCCCATTTCTGGATGCTAGCAGTATTTTTTTTTTTCTTTGACTTTGAAGTTTTGGCTTTTGGCTGTAATGTTTCTGGGAGGTTCCTGGAAGGAGAAACCTTTTGAGGTTTCTTTAAGAAGGTGACGTGTTTTTTTTTTCCCGCCACTTTTCTCTATGGTTCTAAAAGGTCTGGACAATTTTCTATCATGATTTCTTTTTTTTTTTCCTTTTCAGTTTCAATTGTTTTATTGTTGATCTTCTCATTTGCACTCATTTGTAGTTATTGTGTATATTGGTTTTCCAGTTGTTTTTGCTTTACTTTGTATCTTCCCTTGCATTTTCTTTTTTTTATAATTAATTTATTTTGAGTTTTCAACATTCTGTTTCATAAGATTTTGAGTTTTAAATTTTCTCCCCTTCTTTTCCCTCCCCTCCCCAAGACAACATGCAATCTGATATAGATTGTACTTATACATTCCTGTTAAACATATTTTCACATTAGTCATGATGTAAAGAAGAATTAGAACAAATGGGAGGAACCACAAGAAAGAAGAAACAAAACAAAAGAAAAGGAGAGCAAATAGTAAGTTTCCATCTGCACTCAGACCCCAGAGTTTTTTCTTTAGATGTGGATAGCGTTTTCCATCATGAGTCTTTTGGAGTTGTCTTAGATCCTTGCATTGCTGAGAAGAGCTAAGTCTATCAAAATCAGTCATCGAACAATGTGGCAGTTACTGTGTACAATGCTCTCCTGGTTCTGCTCACTTCACTCGGCATCACTTCATATAAGACCTTCTAGATTTTTCTGAAGTCTGCCTGCTGATCATTTCTTACAACACTGTAGTATTTCTTTACGTTCATATACCACAACTTGTTCAGCCATTCCCCAATTGATGGACATCCCCTCAATTTCCAATTCTTTGCTTCCACAAAAAGAGCTGCTATAAATATTTTTGTGTATGTGGGTCCTTTTCCCGTTTTTATGATCTCTTTGGGATACAGCCTTAGAAGCGGTATTGCTGGGTCAAAGGGTACACAGTTTTATAGCCCTTTGGGCATAGTTCCAGATTGCTCTCCAGAATGGTTGGATCAATTCACAACTCCACCAACAATGCATTAGTGTTCCAATTTTCCCACATCTTCTCCAACATTTATCATTTTCCTGTTTTGTCACATTAACCAATCTGATAGGTGTGATGTGGTACCTCAGAGTCATTTTGATTTGTATTTCTTTAATCTGTAGTGATTTAGAGTATTTTTTTCAATGGCTATAGATAGCTTTAATTTCTTCCTCAGAAAATTGCCTGTTCGTATCCTTTGACTATTAATTTGGCTCAGTTCTCTATATCTTTTAGAAATTAGTTCTTTATCAGAGGCATTGGCTGTAAAAATTGTTTCCCAGCTTTCTGCTTCCCTTCTAATCCTAGTTGCATTGGATTTGTTTGTGCAAAAACTTTAAAATTTAATATAATCAAAATCATTCATTTTGCATTTCATAATGTTCTCTATCTCTTGTTTGGGCATAAATTCTTCCCTTCTCCATAGATCTGACAGGTAAACTATTCCTTGCTCTCCTCATTTGCTTATAGTAGCAGCCTTTGTATCATGTACCCATTTTGACTTTATCTTGGCATACGGTGTAAGATTTTGGTCTGTGCCTAGTTTCTGCCATACTCTTTTCCAGTTTTCCTAGCAGCTTTTGTTAAATAGTGAGTTCTTATCCCAGAAGCTGGAGTCTTTGGATTTATCAAATAGTAGATTGCCATAGACATTGAATTATTTCTTGAAATATGATATGGAGACTCTTTTTGGGGGGCTTGGGAGTGGTTCATAGCTTTCAGGAAACCCAATGATTCCTAGGTTATTTTCTTCCTTGCCCTATTTTCTATAGAGATCAATTGTTTTTGAAATGAGGTACCCTATATTTTCTTCAATTCTTTCAGTCTTGACTTTGTTTCAATATTTCTTGTTGACTTATGAAGTAATTAACTTATATGTGGTCCATTTAAATTTTTAGTGAATCTATTACTTGTCAATAATAATAAATGCTTATTGACTAATTGGATAAATTGGTCTATTGACTAATTGACTAATTGGATAAAATCTTATCCTTTTTTATTAAGCCATTAATTCTCCATCCCAGTCTTTCCCTTAGCTTTCTCATTTCTTTTTTTTTCTTAAGATATCTCATTTCATTTATTATATGATTTTAAACTCTTGTTACATTTATTTTTGAAATTCTAGTTGACCTTGTGGCCACCCTGTGTTTTTATCTGAGGCTTCACTTGTAAATATTGTGAGGTTATTCTGTTCTTATGGATTATGTCTTTGGTATCAGTGGCTCTAAAAATAGCTTTTCATTGTGGGTGTCTTTTTTTTTTGTTGACTGATTCTTCTAGCATTGCTATCTGAATGGAGACTTTTTGTTAGGTTCAGGCTCTGTTGTTTTTTGTAGGTACTGTTGTGTTCTTGTTTAGTCCTAATCTATACTCTCTAGGTATGTTACTGTTGGTTTGTATGACTGTTGAAGGCTGTATTCCTCAGTGGTCTTAGGGTCGACTCAGGCCATGGACCTGTAAACTTTTAGCCCCATTTAAGAGTACTGATCTAGGGCAAAGTCTGATCATTGCCCTCCTGGTCTGATCTTTGCAAGCTCCTGACCCTAGTGTGGGTCTAGGTAACACAAATGCAGACTTTTTCCTGGTTGGAGCTCTAATGGACTGTCACATACTATCGCAGAGAAGGCTGTGAAGGTTCAGGGTGACAACTGTAAGCTCGCTCTTGGTTTGAGCTTCTTATGAGTGTTCGTGGAATGAATCTGCACCCCTTCTCAGGTCAGAGCCCCACGGCTGCTGTTTTTGCTTCTTGCTCAATATACAAACTAAGTCCTCTCCTTGGCCCCATTTCTGGGGTCTCATATCAGACCTGAGGCTGACTCCTGATCTTCATCCTTAGATGGTACACACATAGTTTCAGGCTCTATATGTGTTATATCCGAGACTTTTCCTTATCTTGGTGGTGGTGGTTGTTGTTTGTCCTTTGCTCAAAGAGGACCATGACATCAGGGAGGTGATACCCTGATGTGCAAGTGAATTGGATTTAAGTGAGGGAGGGCTGTATACAACCCCTGAAGTTCCCACTAGTCTCCATGCTAGAAAGTTCTTTAGGGGATTTTCTTGGCTGGATCTTCTACCCAGTTCCTGTAGGCCTTTTCTTTTCCCCCTATGCTAGCTTAAACTGGAAAATTGCTCACCATAGTTGCTCCTTAGTTTTTTCAATCACTACTTAAAATCTGATGCTCTTCTTTGATCTTTAATGGAGTAGTGGTAGAAAGCTAGGTTGTAATACTTCCTCTACTTTTCCATCTTTGTTGATCATTCACATATCTTTTATTTTTTTAAAATGTAAAACTGCATTCTCCTTATTCTGCATACTTTAATTTCAGAATAAATAAACAGCCTTCTCCTCCCCAGGGAAGAGGAGAGGGAACAGAGAGACTTGAATCTCTGCCCTTTTACACTGCAGAATAGAAGAAAAAAAAAACCCTTGACATTGTGGATGGAGCCAGGCTGTCCAGGGCCTCCACTGCTACTTTGGGAATACAGAGGATGAGGTCTGGTGTAGAGAACTAATCTACCTCTTCCATTCAGGATGCATCTTCATCTCCTTCAAGGGGGGATATCTCATTAGGAACAGCAGCATTGGGTTTTTCTGCCATCACTTCATTCTCATCATTGCTAAGATCTAACTTACTCATGTAGTAAATTTAGATTGAATGAATCTAGGGATCCTCAAGGGAGAAACCAGAAGACAGCAGGGCTGTCTGGAAAAGTAGCACCATCACGTCCTTCACAGCCTTGTCATTCTTGTCAGTCTCAGCCTTCTGCCAAAGAGTCTCCATTATGGGATAATCTGGGCTTAGCCATCCTGTAATCCATTGTGGAGTTGTCTTTCATTGCTTGTATCTTCAAGTTGTGTTGCATGTTAGCCATCCCAACATATGTGCTAATCATAATGCAGTAGGCTGAAGACTAGCCAGTTGGAGATTGTCACTTTCGGCCTTCTTATCCAGAATTTATTTCATGAGCTCGCATAAATACTTGAAATTTTCTTTGCTATCCTCCTTTTTTTTTTCCATTCCATCTTATTTTTCTGGAAGTTTGAACCCTTGGTTAAACAGAATAACAGAGATAAGGATCTTCTCTTCAGATTCCTTTAGCAGCTGCGTGCAGTACTCATCAGTGGCCTCTGTCATATACACTAGTTTAAAGCTTCATTTCTGTACCTGTTCTATAAAGGCTACCTATCTTTTACTCCCACCAATGATATAGTGGGTGCACTTCTGGATTTCTTTCATTCTGGGCAACATATTCAGAAAAATATGGAACATTTCACAGATTTACATGTCATCCTTGCACAATGGCCATGCTAATCTCTGTATTGTTCCATTTTTGTATCTGTGCTGATAAAGTGAGCACTTGCATATCTTTTCAAGAAAATCTTGTCTCCTTCCTTCCTTTCCTTCCTTCCTTCTTTCCTTCCTTCCTTCCTTCCTTCCTTCCTTCCTTCCTTCCTTCCTTCCTTCCTTCCTTCCTTCCTTCCTTCCTTCCTTCCTTCCTTCCTTCCTTCCCCAGACTCAGCAGGAACTATTTCCAAGTTCATTAATTATCTTGGGATTATTTGATATGTCCCAAAATTAGTTTCCAATATCTTATTATATATATATCTTATTAACAGGATTTTAGCAGATGATAATATTGACTGAGCCTTTACTTTGAAATGTAAAGCCTATAATATCCCAAGTTTCTCATTTTTAGTGACCACTAATAGATTGTAGTCAAGAAACAACCTGTTACCGAAACAATTAGTTGCTTTAGATATATACGATAATTTGTCAATTTAATATTTTTCTTGTCCCACTGATTAGCTATGCTTGAAATATATTTGTATGTATATATTTATATTTCCTGAAGTGAAAGCTTCATCCTTTTCATGTTAACATTAAAGGAAACTTTATAGTTTAGCACAGGATCTTGCACTGTTTTTCAGGGTCCAGATGGTAAGTAGCACTCTTAACAATGCTAGTGCCTAGGACAAAATGTGCCTTTGTACTTTTAAAAATAGTACATTGTTAGTTTTGGTGAAATCCTAAAAACCAGTAATTGAATGCCTTCATTAATTCATTTATTTTGTGTAAAAATATTGGGAGCAGATAACTTTAGTGATTATGGATATGTTCCTTGGAAGGAGTTATAGTTTTAAAGTTAGGAATTTACTTTTAATTTTCTTAATGCAACATTTACCCGTTTTCTCAGTTTACATATCAAAACTAGACTTTACTGCTAATAGTTTAAGAAAATCAGACTGTATACTTTTTCTTCCTGGCATGTTCTTGTGGTTTAGATTTGAAGTTAGAATGTACAGTTTGGCATATAGCATGTGCAAAAGACAAGAACATTGTGGTATCACAACTCTATTGGCTCTGTAATTACTACTCATTTGTACTGCTTATGCCAAGGCAACCCTATTTTAAAAAGTAGCAAGCTGTACTTGTAAAACATGTGGGTAGGGCATGCACAGTGGTGGTGTACCATTTTCCAAAATACAATATGTTAATAACCATATGTGGCTATTACTTTTTTTTCAGGGTATATTTAGCTCATCATTCATAATGTCTGAACTGTTTTTCTCTATGAGGAGTCTCACGTTGAAACTGAAATTTTATTTTCTTGTGTTATTTTTGTTAGTTTCCTGTGGTCATTTACATTTTATAGAGTAAAGACTTTAATAAAAAAGTGTTGTTGGGTTGGGTTTTTTTTTGTTGTTGTTTTTTATTTTTTTTTTTTAGTGGGAGAGAGGGCTATTATTCACCATCTGTGAAATAATACATTCTCCCAAGGGTGAAGAAGAAAAATTCCTCCTCTGTTGTTTTAAGATTATTCACTTAAAATGAATATATACTTATGTCATATGGGGAGTTATTCCCCTAAAACCTATCCTCTCCATGAGCACTAATTATGGAAATTATCTGTCATACTTTAAAATAGCACAGGAATCTGTTCTGGTACTAAGTGCCTACTATAGTGCCTGTAGCTTTGTGACTGGGCTGTTGGGTTGCATGTAGTGACCCCTAATCTCACCCTTGATTCTTGGGAGACTTCATATTCAGGATATGTAGTTAAGAAAACTCTAATGTGGGAAGCCAAGTGCTTTCCATACATTAGCCCTTGGATCTGGGAATGAATTATTTTCATAGAATCATAAAGGGACTTGAGAAATCATCTGATCTGATTTGTTCATTTTATAGAAGATGAAAGAGTCTCAGAGAAATTAAATGAATGACAGAGTTTGGATCTCATGAGTCCCAGTGCAGTACTCTTTCTACTAAACCACTACTAAACCATACTATCTCTTTTAATTCTTCCTTGTTCCTTATATCAGAATATCTCAAAGTATGTACTATGGAACTCAAGATATCCTTAAAGGACTGCAAGACATTTCACAAAAGAAAGAGTTGTAATGTGAAATAAGCACATACATCACACATATTTGTCCTGTTTCCTGCATTTGTTGTTCTCCTACATTGTGTTGTGTGGATGGAGAAAACAATAACAATAAAAATACTCCAACACAGTTACATAAGTTGGGTCAAATGTTAAACTTAAAGCTTGTGTACCATTTATATAATGAATGACAAAGTGGCTATATTAAAAGAGGTGAAAAAACTAGAGCTTCTGTGCATAAGTGAGTCTGGAGAAGATCTGTAATTATTGGCTCAAACACTTTACAGTAGGTCATGAATTACTAGCTAAGCACTTTACCAGTTTCTTGTCCTGTGTAGGCTTCATTCCATCTTTCTTAATGGAAGGTATCACATATTTGTTATAAAAAATCCAAGAATACCAATGACCTCGAATTGTGTGTTTATGTACTTCATACAAAGTATTCACAGATTTTATCTATAAAGAAATCTATAAACACTTGAAACTGTTGGATTCATAATGGAAAGGCTGTGCTGGGGTTCTTAAGAGCAACTTATTATTGATTTGGTAATTAGTGAGGAAGCCACCTGAAAATACCCTAGCATTTACACTACATTGATTGAGTGATTGCCAGGAAGCCTTTGATGCTGTTCCATACTTCTGGTTTAATCATATACTGCAGATATATAAAATAAACCCAAGTATGATGAAATTGCTAAAATATTTGATGTATACCAGGAAGGGTGGTGTAGTGGATAGAATGCTAGACCTGGACTCTGGAAGACCTGAATTCAAATCTTACCTCAAACACTCAATAGCTGTGTGATCCTGCTTAAGCCACTTAACTTGTCTGTCTTGTTTCTTCATCTGTAAAATGGAGATAATAATAGTACTTACCTCTCAGGGTTGTTGTGAGGATCTAGTGAGATAGGATTTATTAAGTGCTTGCAAACCTCAAAGCAGTAGCTGTTATTATTAACAATAATAATAATAATGAAACATACCACCAATATAATAATGTCAAGAGCAATTGATATAAAATATGTCAAAATATAAGATATGTCATCTTCAGAGAGGTAGTTTAAATACCTTATGATTTTGCTTAAGCCTTCAGTCCATTGTTGCCCATGAAAAGAACTGAGAATGATCTAAGGTCTGACCGTATTATTCCCTTAGTCAATAAAATCCAGTGACTCTTTATTAACCTCTAGTATCAAATATAAAATCCTCTATTTGAAGATTTTAAAAGCCCTTCATAACCTGGTCCCTTTTCGGCCTTCTTACACCTTAATCCCTTCACATATTCTGTGATTCAGTGACTTTGGCTTTTTTGCTGTTCCTTGAACAAGATGCTTCATCTCCTAACCTTGTGCTTTTTTTCAGAGAACAATCCCTGTTCCCAATGAGCTCACATTCTAAGTGGAGGAGACAACACATACAAGAAAGGGCAGATAGAAATGCCAGAAGTTCTAAGGTTCTAGAAATGGTGGGATGGATGGACAAGCCCACAGGCTCTTTAAGTTATGTAGTTTATTTAGATGACAGTGCCAGATGAAGGTGGGGCTTAGAGGCAGGGCAGGTGAAGGACCTTAGGAGTCGCTGGCTGTCATCAGAAGGAGGAGCTCCATCTAAGCCCTGTGAGAAATCAAACAGCCCAGGTGAAAGGGAGAGGTAAAGGAGAGAGAGGGCCCCTGGTGCTTTTCTAGTAGGTCTTTCTGGTGACGAGCTGTCCCAGATGAATTCTATAACTTTGTTACCATGGGGCATCTCTCCAGCAGCACTTATTGAACCCTTTACCATTTGGTAAATGATCTTTGGAAGTTTTTGTGTAGCCAAAGATTACCCTGTGGCCAATCTGGTGGTGAGCCTCTGTGAACTCAGGTTTTTTTCTCAGACATCACTGGGCCCCACATTGAAGTCTTTCTGACTTTGTAGAAACTTCTATAGTCTGTACTCCATTAACATAACCTTCAAGAACATGGGATCACCTGTACCCCATAATGTAGGATTGGAATAAGACATTAGTGGTGCTATTTGTAAATATCCACATAAAATTCTAGTTATTTTGATATTAAGCTTTTTTTGTTAATCCCAAAGTAATGACTACGTATAAATACAAGAAAGATCAAATACCTCTGTTGGTTAGACGAAAATGGTTAATTTAATTGGCATATGAGTTATGTACATATTTATAAGAAGGCCATTTTCAGCATTTATTGAAGAAGAAGAAGAAAGATGTTGGAGGTTGAAAGGAGAAGTTACCTTGGGTATAGTATAATGGTTAAGCAAAGGAGAATTTAGTAGCAAAGTAAGGAGTAACTTTTAAAGGGTTTAAAAGGTTTAAAGGTTCATGCAATTTCTTCATCCCTGCTTGGTGACATTATGGAGACAGAAAGTATTAGTAAATGGACAACTATGCCACTGAACATTTGGAACCATCCAATCAACCAACAAGCATTTATTAAGTTTCTGCTCCATTACATGTCAGGTACTAGGGATAGAAAACCGGAGGCAAAACAGATTGTAGAGAAGAGAGCAAGTCAAGGTATCGAGGATGGATAGCATTTTAAAGAAATTATAAACTTAGGGAAATACTTTTGAAATAAGCAAGCAGGTACATTGCCATTGGTTTTATTGAATGTAATCACAGTGTTTTACCTCCTGTTAAGAGCCTCTGAAATTGCTAACGTCCAAGAGTGGAATCGAAAGGACTGCTATGTGTGCCATTGCATGAACTTAGCCAGTAGTATATTAGCAAAAATGCTTTAAACAAATGACTGAATCATTCAGATCTGTTTATGGACTTGGGGTGGTTTATGATGACAATTAAGGACCAGTTTATTGCCACCAGGAATTATAGAAGGATTATCTTTGTGGAGGTCCGACTTAATGGTCAGTGTATATTATGCAAAAAGATGCCTAGAACATCATTGCAGATGCCCAGAATGAAAAAGATCTAGAAGGATATGGTGGCTAGAATTATAATCAGAAGCTTG